TGTGGCTACAGGCCTGTCGGTGCCTATATATTGCCATTGGTCAGGTTGCACAACTTATCTGCACATTCTTTGTCTTACTATGGTTTTGTTCAGATCATCTGACTGTATTTTGAGCCTCAGATTGACCTGTGGATTCGACCACGAGACTCCTTTTGTAGTTAAAGACAGGTTGGCGCATTTGAGTTTAGTAATGGTTAAGGTGCTGTCCGTTTTTATGTTTATTTCGTTTAATAGCACCGTTATCTTGGTTCCGGTTTGGTTTCTGTTGAATGTCCAGCGAGACACACGTTGCTTTAATCAAGCATCTTTTGGCACCTACAGAGCTGATACGGTATTTAGTTCGGTAAAACTGGCTTATCAAACAGAGCGGTGTAACAACCCGGCAGCCTAGCGATCGGGTACCTGAGTTAAAGAATGGAGGAGGATACAGAACGTCCGTTTGACCGAAACTTTTGTGCCTGGACCAACATACAACAGTAATAAATAATAATAAATAATGTGTCAGCCGTACGCCGTAACGGCGCTTCACTGCCGCGCGACCACCACCAGTCGCGCGTGGGCTGAGTATACCGCGAGGACGCCCACCCCTATGCGGATTCGAACCGGTGACCTTATGGTTGCAAAGCAAACGTGCAGACCACTCGGCCACCGGTCGACTTCGGCTTCATCCTGCATAGGCCAGAGAGTGGCTTCAAGAGTCGCCAAACTAGTGTACACAACACGACGGATAAACGAAAACAAGCAACTGGTGATGCTCACTTTACGAAGAGGTTTCCTTGCAATCCACTCGATACCCATCACCAACCATCCCTTCGCTCTCACTAGTTGAAGTGTTGGCAGCTGAGGTAATAATGCCGAATTTATGCCATTTGCAGTCATATTCACGCTGCGTTCACTGGTCTCTGTACGGTACTTCCATATCAGATCACACAGCTCGATTTCTATTGCTGCGTTCAATGTCCGTATGCGAACAGAATGCAGTCGCAAACGCACTGGGTCCTATAGAGATTGATGTCCATCACGACTACAAACAGGGAACACAGAGCAACCAAGCGGTTATGGAGTCAACTGCACTCACACTGCCACCCCACTGTTTGGCTGAGTGCCTCCGGAGATTATGATGCAGTGACCACAGATCAGCCTTGGTTGCAGTATCCTCCTCAGCTCAGATGCTGGATCCTCGTTGATTGGTTGGATTCTCCCGAACAGACGCCAGAGCGCAGCGTGGTTAAGAACCACAAATAAAAGTAGCACATGGAGCTGCGCTGGACGCTGTTTGTTCGTGTATTAAGCCTAGTCTTCAAACGGCTGTGGTCGCGATGCTGCCAAAGAGGCGTACTACCAAGAACAGCACATTTCGTATCGTTAGCCTCTTATGAACAGTTGGATTTACCGGGGAAACAGAAGCGCAAATAAGCCATTCAAGCCCCTCAGAAGATTTGATTCGTAGTACATGGACAAGGGTCGGTGCTCACTGAAAATGTGCGCCCGGCATTAATTGATTCTAGGCGGCTGTCTTCGGAAATAATGTGCCACCTGATGTCCTCCGACAGGAGGTCAATGATGGATACAAGTGGAGCACATCGTTATAGGTATCAGGTGACGTGGTTCCATACTTGGCCGCCAGTCGTCTTGGGACACGAGCGTCGAATTTGACCGTGTGGCTGATTTTGATTCAACTTCATTGGAAGGCGCCGAAGATGAGTACCACACCTGGTCAAGGAGAAGCTGCTGTAACCTACCGCTAGATAATTCCATCACCATGTCTTGTGCATCGAGTTTTTACCCAGCTGCTAGCTGAACACAAATTCTCAGTGGAACAGAAGTGCCCACATAAAGAACGGCGCGAGTTTCTGGTTGTAGCCCAACTAGTCATCGCCACACAAGACATTGGGTAGTCAGAATGTTGGTAGATCTTCCGAAATCTAAAAGCGTAGCTGCTGCTGGCAGTTAATTAACTGCAGCCGAACTATCAGATGTGAGGCTAAAGGGGCTTAGAAAAAGGTAATGGGACTCAGTAAATGGAAGTCACGGAAAGGTGGTTAGCGTCAGCAGACTTGTTCAAATTATCCATGTCAGTGGTACAGGAAATCACCTGTCAATAATATTATAAAGGATAGTACCGGCGCCAGAAATCGATATAAAGAACGCCCCTCGGCCAGTCGCGTGTGGCACTTAAGGAAACAGTACGTTTGACTTTAAGGACCTTGAGCTGATTCGTGCAAGTAGTAGAGCCCGGTTATTTCTGAGGCTCTATCTTAAGCCGAGACTAAAACGTCATCACATCGCTCAACCGTTTCGTGCCACCGATCAGGATCCTGCAGTAACCACGCCGTGTAAGGACGGTGATGAGGACCATTGCAGAACCGACACGCTCCCGCATAGACATGGAATTACGAGATACACTCAGCTAACTGGAGGGAATCGAGTATAGTGGCAATGTACAAGAAGGCCAATAGTAAGGATTGTGTTAGCCACAGTGGGATCATTTTGGATTCGTCTTTAACAAAACCACGGTTCCATTCTCGTTTGTCGCTTTACTGCTAGACTGTAATTCCGGATGAATGGATAACGAATGAGTTCGTTAGGGTGGATCTGAATGGAACATAGTTTCACCCCGAGCCATACAATGGCAGACTGAGTGCAGTTATGCGCGATGGCCTCGGTCGACAGTACAGTTGTGTTCTATATACTTGGGCGGTAAGATGCTCCCAGAAAACATGCGAATATTTTACGTTAACCGAATGTGAACAACACAGTAAGGGTTTGCGTATTTTGTGAATTGTAGGTTACCGTTCCGACGACAAGCCTCGTTCGCCATACACGCCCGCTCACTGTTTGTCAAGAAGGGTTTCGTTTGCCTGGGCTGGGATGGTGAAAAACTAGGGAGAGAGAGAGAGACAGTTGCTGATCTTGAAACGGAGAATGGGGTATCCGATCGCTAGACTAGGCGCTTATGCTGTTTTCCAGGTCGGTATCGACTCGACCCATGTTGTACACCGGAGGCCTCGCAAAATATGGCTCGTACACGGTACCAATGAAACATTTTCCACTCTCTCCTAACTGAACTGCCCAATTAGAGTATGGTGCTGAGTTATGAAGCATGGGGTAAGGAAAGCTACAAAAAATCTGTCTTCGCAACGCCGCCTAGCTGGTAGATGTATTGCTCATGAAAATTTTCACGAGACATCTAGGTCATATCCCACATTCTTTGTTTATTATTATTTCCCAGTAGCTGGGTTGTGATGGCCGTTGGGCAGTAAAACATACCTATAATGAGTGATGTAACGATGGTGATGGTGATGCCGATAACGACGGAGGAACGAGTCCCGAGCAGATGAGTTAATTAGTACGAGTTAATTCCTGTGAAAAACAGCCTACTGCCTAGTAAATGGGACCGAGTGTATTTTCACATGCATTCAGAGTGAATATATTGTCATCGTGGTGGTGAATGAAACAGTTATACACACTCTGTTAGTGTTGGTTAGAAACGGGCAACTGTGCGGGTCTATGCGCCTGAGGCACTTGAACAGGATGAAAGAAACGATGTCAGCCGGATGCCCTGTGAAACGCCTATATATGCGCTAATCGGGGTAATGTGCGCAAGTGAAGGTAACGCGCTTCTGCGAGTGTCCACCTTGGATGCCCACTATTTGCACAGAAGGGCCAGAGACCGGCCCCTGACCGAAGGGATCACACGTCTGCCTCGTAATCCGGAGGTCGCGGGCCCGAACCTATGTAGGGGACCGGAAGGCCTTCGCAGTTTTCTTAGCCCATGCACGACTTGGTGTTTGTATGACAGCGAAGCGTCGGTAATGCGTACCGGCGTACTACTGAAGTTTATGTAAGGTAAGCGCAATTTCACAAGCGAGGCTATTATGGATCAAAATATCTTTGGATAAGCTTGGGAGTTCTCATAATCCAGCGGTTGCATTAAACGGACGTCGTGAGCGGATGGCGCTGATACCACCCGTTGGGATCAAACTACGCAGCTCTGCGACGATAAGGCGAACTCATACGATGGCTAAGGCCCGCCAAATACAATAGTCCGTGATAAGCAGATCCACATGGTCATACAAATTGACATAACAGGACGCTTCAAAGATCAAAATTACGAGCTGTTCCCCGAGGAAGGGGATTCACTAGAACTGATCACTACAGTCATTCTAATCGGGTAACAGCTTGAGGCATGGAAAAGCTACTTGGCTGATCGCAATACAGTACATAAATGAATCCTGCACATCCAACGGGTGTTAATATACTGTCTATTCAACCGTAATCGGTTTTAGCATACATAATCACCATACTTGACATCTTCTACTGAATTACTAGGGAGAAAAATGACCCCTTCTTTTATTGCCTTCGCTGAGGACAAATTCTTCAAAAATAACATATTAGTATGGGTCGACATATGAAGAAAAAGCTCTGTTTTGGTGGACTGCGACTGCATCAGAGAAAAAAATGCTAGCAACTGCCACTGATGCCCATCATAAACCGACCATAAAATATGTTTACAGTTATCTGCTGCTATGTGTGGTTCACCAAAGGTTAGGAACACACCCTACGCATTTTAGTCCTCACAAACATTTGAATTATCCTGTTTATCCAATCATGTGTGCAGTGAGCAGCCCTCTTGGCTGCATCTAGATTTATTGGGGGAAATACAATCGTCGATGTTTGAAAAAGTCACACCCACCCGCTGGGCGGCAACCACAGCCAATTCAACATAGCACTATTGAGATAACAAGCAGCATTGAGGACACGAACCTAAGCAGGTCAAAAGAAAGAAAGGAGTTTCAAAATTTGTGAGGAACTGTTTTACTACACTATGAAAGAATATGCAACATTGCAGGCGCTCCTTAAAAGTGCAATAAAAACAGGAGTTACGAACAACACCAGTATCTTTTGCAAGAAGCCTAATTAAACGAAAAGCTGACATCAGCCCAGACACATGGTTATAGAATCTCATGCAATAAAATGACACTGAAAATATTGCTCACTGGGCTAACGGAGTCCTCCGCAGCCTTGACTTCACAGGGTGTGTCAGAGTGACTCACAAAGGCTGGGGCAGATTGTGATACCAAGTCAGCTGTCACGGGATGATTTTCATTGCTCCCAACATCTACGGAGAACGCATTGGTATAAGGTGGTTATGGATTAGAAATTTTTGATAACCTAGTAAGAAATATGTCATTCGATCGAAAACGCAGAAAACCATCGTCTGTTGTTAGCACCAGCGGTCAAACGATGGATAACAGTGGTGAACGGATCGGAGATCTGTATAACGATGCTACAGAAGTAACAGCTGAAAGACGTGTGAGGAAAAATAATAGGCTAAAAACTCGGGATCGGAGACAATGGGGCAGGAAGACAGTAGTCCGGTTCTGTGCGTATTTTATGGGAATCCTACACAGAAAGGGAATTCAGAATGCTGCACATCCATCTGCCGTCTTGTGGCTGCAAAGGAGAACACATCTGATGCAGATGGAAGTGAGAAATAGTGGCTAGTTCACTGTAAAGAGCTACGAGCGGTTTGTCCATAAGTGTATTCATACGCTTCTGCTAGCAATCAGATTTCACTTGTCAATAAGCATCTGCGTAAGCATGATTAACAACAGTCAGCGGTGAGTAGATAAGAAAACACGGAGAAGTCACGCTGCCCAGTTGGATTGTCAAACAGGAGTTAAGCTATGCATACTTCTAGTGTGGATGAAGAGTAGATACGTCAAACATTTCGATAGATAAAAAGTATCCGAACCAGATTTTCAGCACATAGTGAAAACCAACCATCATTTAGGTGAATAGAGTTACATCGCTTCGAAACACTAGATCGACAATTATCGACGGCACTGAAGTTGTGCCCCTACAGCGTTAACTACATGGCAAAAACTGCGCAAGAGGCAACTGGGGCGAAAACGTTGGTATAAGTTGTGTCCAACGTGGTATGCGGAAATTTAAATGTGAAATCACTAGCCTTCACCAAAGGAGTTCGGCCACAGTGGAGTAATGGCTGCGAAAGTCAACCAAATTTTTAGTAACAATGCAGCGTGAAGGTAAGGTATGAGGAGAGCGTCAGACAGTGAAGCGTAGTATGTTCCAGTACAAAAAACTAAAGGCTAAAAAGCAGGTTGTCATTTCCGGATCAACAAAAATGATGGACGCAGTGAAGGGAGATGTAGAAGGGCAAAACGACAGTTGAAATACATGAGTGCGCATAGTGGTAGTAAGAGCGCTACGGAGCGACTAATTGGGTTGGATAAAGAGCCCTCTGGGGCTGAGTGATCATGTAACAATACTTTACGACTATGTGTGTTATGCGGAGTATCCACAAGTAGATACTGATTTGTTTCAGGAAATCACACACTACGATATACTAACAGGACTTGTTGAAGATGCCAGCTGGGAGTTTCCGGACGAGGATTCTACAGATATTGCCTGAACAGTTTGCTGGCAAATCCAGTGATCTGATCATATACGCATCGGAAAACAGATCCCTTCGTGCTACACTAGCTCCATCATTCGTTCGGAGCATGGAGGTAAGAGGCGCAGCGTGGCGTATGTACAGAGCGAACCCTAGCCCTGACAAGTGGAACAACGATGTGGTGCAGCGGAAGAGTTTTCTGCAAACAACAAGCTTCAGTATAAGCATTTGAACAGCCTCCGGAGAGTGAAGTGTGATTTCCCCCCACTCAACTCAACAAACGGATGCGTTCAAACCGCTCTGCGGCTAAACTATTCCGACGCGCTACCAGCATGTCACATATCTGGCTCATCCCTCCGAGGCCAGTATTTACAACATACGTCACATTTAGCTCAGCGTCTGTTTTGAGGAAGCTGCTATCCTTGTACACCCATAGTTCGCTCGGATTTGAAAGCATTCACCCGAAAGCATTGCAGGTGGCAGCTGCGAAGATATCCGAATAATTAACCCGTCTTCTAAAGATGCTTAAATGAACAGCAGGTTCCTGTGTGGAAAAAGGGTATAATGAACCCGATTTTCAAGGATGGCAGCCATTCGGAGTCCGCCAACTATTACCCAGGGATTCTTCTCCCAGTTCTCTCAAAGGTGATGGACTATTTAGAAAGATATAAGCGCATAGCGCCGGAGCAACACGGATTCCGTGAGCATCAGTCATGTACTGCCACTAGCCTACTGTCGCGTGGGGCAGTTGGACTAAAAAACAGCGGATAGTGGGACCGACACGGATGTCATCTATCTCGTGTTTTCCAAAGTCTTCGACCGGTTAGATCATCGAATCCTTCACTAAAAGTTGGATGGATCGAAAAATTTCTTTTTCAGCGGCGCCTTCAGGTTCATTTTCTGATCCTGATCTTGTAGGTTGCGGTGTTTCGCATGGATCAGTGTTGGGGCCACGCTTATTCCTAGTCTTCACAAACGACCCTACGCGTGTCATTGAGCTGAATTTCCTACTTTTTTCTGAGGACATCAAGAGATGGCGAGCGATCGGTAGGCAGAAAAATCACGTACGCTGCAACGGGACTTAGACCGTGCTTTTGAATGGTCAAAAGCAAATCTAGTTCCGCCCAACACTGGCAAGTGTAAAACTGCACATATACGCCACAAACTCACTAACGCATATAAGCTTAGAGATCACATATTGAAGACCGCCTCACAGGAGCGCGATCTTGGGTGGTGATGTAAGACGACCTCGGTTGTTCGGATTAATCCTTGAAAGCGTCCAAAATCGTGAATGAGAATGTCGTTCTCCTACGGTGGACGTTCGGGCGGTTCGACTCCCAAGTTCCCTTTAATTCTCGACGCATATGTGAGGCCCCATGTAGAGGAGGAGATGGAAGCGTGGTAAATATGGCTAAAGAATGAGCTGGCTAGATTGCAGACATTACAGTGAAAGGCAACAGGAAATGTGGAGGAATTTTTCAACCTACTATAGCAACTGCGACTAAAGTCCTAGGTGTATACAACGGGGTGGTCTCATTCTGGCATACCAGATCTTGAAAAACCCCGGTCACGCTTACCACCACCTCCTGAAACTTAGCCGCCGCACAAAATTGAGTGTTTTTAGCTGAAAATGGCCACCCAATACAGTCGGCTGGAATGCCGTCGGAATTAATTTTCTCTTTGAATTTGTCGGCCGTGGAACGATCCTTCGACTTTTGTCTTCTCTGCCCGTACGCTGCCCATTATTAAAACAACAACTTGACGATGCATTATAGCATCTGCATTCCACGATTTAAATTCTGTTCATTGAGTGACAAGACGCAGAGACATTGTGCTCACCAAACCCACGAAATCGGGGTAAACGAATTGTTAACGTGGATATTATGGCGAGTCCAAAGATGTGCGTCTCACTTTACTCTCACTTTGTTGAACTTAAGTAATTCGTACAAACCATCCCACTGAATCTGTCAAGCGTTGGTTTTTTAACCCGCATTATACCGTCGTCCCATTAATCATCTAGATGACCAACCAAACACTACCACATCTTAAGTGCTAATACGGTACAAAGTTTAGTGCAAGCAAATTCGCTGAAGAATCATTAGTGTTTTGACAGCATTCGTATAAGGCCGAATAACTTGTAACGCAAAGCCCCGAAATGGTAACTTTGGTTATTTGTTTACCGGCTCTTCATTATTCAGTAAATTCTGTGTATGAAAAAACCATCAAGTCAGTTCGAGCAATTTTCACGCCAAATTGAAGGTGTACGATGGCCAAGGTGTAAAAAGGAACTTGTGCGATGAAAACGCAAGGCGCGTATTGAAACACATAGATGGGTCTCTCGTGATGTTTGAGGACATATACAAGTGTCCAAGCACTCAAAACCCATCAAGTGCGACATAGGAAGAAACGATACTCCTGGCGTGCCAGTACCAGGGTAGTCCGGTGCGAATGCTCCTACTTCAAAGCAAATCAAGGACCATTGTGGAGTGCACAATATCATAGTGAAGAGATAAGAAGACGGGGATCGCGAGTGAAACGTTAAGGATAATATTAATAAACTTACTTCGCAGTGCCATATAGGAAAGAAAATGCAACTAACGGAAAGCAAGACCACATCTGAAGCGGTAATGGATATACGAGATTTTGACAGTCCAATAATGTTCCGAAACCTATTACTCTTGAGCCTGGTCAAGATTAACCGGTGTGCTCCATTTTACTCGAATGTTTCGGTGTGGCCATCAATAATGAATTATGTCGATATCCATCATCTCCTGTCTGTGTGGTCACGAGTATTGTTATCGTTGCACCAGGTAGGCACGCTCAAGGGAGACACTTGTTCAAAATCAATAGACGTTTCTGAAACCATTTTGGGGTCATTTTTCGTCACATTGATAGTGTCAATAGGGCACTTCATCAGTGTACACGGTGGGGATACACCGTGACATTCACCGTAACGCTGTCAATAGTCACTACGGCTCAAACGTCAACGATACTGACCATTGCGTATGTTATGGGGCTTTCCATCTTATGTGTCTTGATAGTTCCTTGACATGTTGTCAACTTGTGTATCCTCTTTATATGCGCCTGATCTATCATCGATCAGCGTCCTCACCGGCTCCAATCTCGGTCCATACACCGCCTTCAAGGAGTCAAAGAATTCCTTGTGTTGACGGCGTTCGGCGTAGCATTCCATCTGCTTCGCCTTCTCCGTCCACCATGCATTTTTAATGCGACGGAGCTCTCGGGTCAGTCGCCGTCGAAGTTTGCGAAACTGACTACTCTTCCCCAAGTCACTGGGGTCTGCAACATGTGCAGCAAATGCTGCATTCTTCTCTGACACCAATGCGTCAATCGTCACATTGTTGTCATCAAACCAATCAGGCCGCTTACAGTTTGCGCGCCCGATGGTCTCCTCGGCAGCAGCTGTCACCTGGTTGCGAATGTGGTGCCACAAGTCGCCCACTGTGGCTATACAGTCCACTTCACCACACAGGCGTGCAGCCATCGCCTTCTCCAGCTCAGTACGTTTCGCCACAGTACCGAGGGAGAGAATGTTAAATTTACGCCGATTCACGGCGGGAGTGCAATACATCGATTTACGAAAATATATGTACAGTTTGGTCCGAAGCAACTTGTGATCAGTGCCACACTCAGCTCCACGCAGTACACGTCTTATGCGCACTTCACGCAAGTCACGCTGA